GTGTTTGTGTGTGTGGGTGTGTGTGTGTGTGTGTGTGTGTGTGTGTGTGTGTGTGTGTGTGTGTGTGTCGACAGGCTCCGCGGATGGGAACGCTGATGGGTGTCTACCTGCCCTGCCTGCAGAACATCCTGGGCGTGATTCTGTTTCTCAGGATGACCTGGATGGTGGGCATCGGCGGCGTCATCGAGGCCTTCATCATCGTGCTCATGTGCTGCTCCACGGTCAGTCACACCCCATGCAATAGAAATCGGAGATGACAATGGACTTAACTTTGATGAAAATGTCACAATTTGAAACATCTTTATGGTATTACAATTAAGGTTCATTTTTGTTTTTGCAAATCATAATTAATATAGTAATTAGTTATTTATTTTTATTAATATTTTAAATTAGCTTTTGTTTTTATAGTTTTAATTTAAATTTTGGTTTAATTTTTAGTAATTTTGTTATGTGGAAGTTTTTTTTTTTTGTCCCTAAAAAAAGTTTAATTTCTAAATAGTAAATTTTTTTCCAGTTTTAGTTTTCAGTTAGTAATTTCAACTTAAACTTAATTCATACGATATTAATTGTTATGCATAATAATTATTTTATGCACGAATTTGTAGTTTCTATTAGTTTTTTTAATATTTTTAAATAGTTTTCTAAATAGTTTTAGGATTTTTTCAGTATTAGTTAGTAATTGTAGTTAGTAATTTTTGTTTTATTGCAGTGTTTAGTACTTCAACTTAAACTTATTTTGGAATTTTGGGTTATTTACATATTTGTTTATTTTTGAGTTTATCATCTAATGTTTATATTTATATTCTATTTCAGGTTTATGTGAATTATCAAAATTTTTTAATAGTTTTAATTTGAGTTAACAGTAACAACAATGCTTTTGATACTGGATTGCATTGTTCTTAATAGGTTAAGTGAGATTCACTTTATATCTGAATATTTTCAGCCTTTATGAATCATTGCATTTACAGTGAATAATAAAGACATAATACTTTCACATGCACACAGCTGATGCAATCATCTAATTTCGGTTGATTTTTAATTTGCATGTCCCACATTTGCATGCCATCACATTCTCAAAGACCCGCTGATTAACGTGCATGTGTTTCCGCCGAATGCAGGCCTCCTGCTGCACATATGTATGTGTCACCGAGCAAGCATGCACTTCAACATACATGCCCGTTAATGTGATGTGTAAGTTTGCAGGTGCAACCTAGATTCTCCAGCGCCCGTGGTCATGGAAGTGCTATTTTTATAATGAGCTCAGAAATCTCACTATTTTCTATTTCTTCATCTCTCTTTAACTCGCTCTCATACATACACATGGTGGATTTGAGTTTGGAATAGCATACTACAATACTACTCTCGTAGAGTGAGATGCATTAAAATAGCCCAAATACGCACAACCACACTGAGGTTAAATCACCTGCGGTTCTTAATGGAATATTTCACCCAAAAATGAAAATTTGCTGAAAACGTATTCCCCCTCAGTCCATCCGAGATGTAAATGAGTTTGTTTCTTCATGAGACTTGGAGAAAAGTGTAATTCCATTACTTGCTCACCAGTGGATCCTCTGCAGTGAATGGGTGCCGTCAGAATGAGAGTCCAAACAGCTGATAAACTATCCATGTCATCTGAAATTACCAGCTCATTGCCAGGCGCCCGTCGCTTGCTTTTCATCGCGTTCGGTCTCTCATGGCAACAGATGGAGAGGAGGAGAGAACGCTGATTCTTTCATGCATCACAGAGATGGAGACGCCCGCCTCTTTAAGACAGACTGAAGCCGTTAGAAATGCAGAAATTAATCATTAAAGGACACAAACAACAGCATTGATCCACTTTCAAATAGTCGGCAGGCACATAAATCTTGATAGGCGGATGGCAGACATTTATTTATGGATCGTGACGGTCATGAAATGATCAAATTATTTGTGGGAATGCATTAATGCATGAATATGAGTTGACTGTTGTGTATTCAGTGATGTAGATGTAATCAAATTAACACTTAACACTGAGACAGTGGCTCCGGTCCAAAACCTAAAGAGAATTGGCCGAATTCTAAGGCAGGCAAGGCAATCCCAGAATGCATTGCTCAAGCTCCAAACAATTGCAGCCAAAATGAGAGAAATGTTGATTATGCATACATTTACAGCCATTATGAGGTTCCACACTCAGATCGTTGTGCGAAAGGAAGATGCACATCTTTATTCTGCACTTCTGTTTTCTGAGCTCGGCTGTATTAAATTCATTTTCTGATGTGTCATTTGATTATGTAAATGTATCCTCTCGAGAGACCAAATATTGCCAGCACCAGTGAGGAGGCACATACCTGAATTAAGATACTTACTGACAAATAAATAAAGTTTGTGTGTATAATACCGCTTGAAAAGGTTTTTTTTAAGGAAATTAGTGCTTTCATTCAGCATGGATGCATTAACTTAATCAAAAAGGCATTTATAATGTTACTAGTTTTCTGTTTCAAATAAATGTGGTTCTTTTGAACTTTCTATTCATCCTGAAAAATCAAATGAATTGCAGTTTTCACAAAAATATGAAGCAGCACAACTGTTTTCAACACTGATAATAATCAGAAATGTTTCTTGAGCAGCAAATCAGCATATTAGAATGATTTCTGAAGATCATGTGACACTGAAGACTGGAGGAATGATGCTGAAATTTTATTACATATTTATTTTGAAAAGTAATGGACCTCATTTATGAAAAAAGTAGAACAAAATTCTGATGTCGATTGTTTGTTGTGTGTGTGTGTATGAGTGTGTGTTTTAGTGTGTGTGTGTGTGTGTGTGGGTGGGTGGAAATGGACCAGATCTCACATGAGTCTCGATTATAGTCAAGATAAAACACTTAGTCTCAATTAGTGTCTTATCAAACCCGTCTGAGAGAGAAAACTGCTGATTATACGCTGATTAAAGCCTAATGAACTAAAACACTTGAATCCTCTCCGAATGTATTGTTCAAAGGTTGCTCTTTCATAGCTCATGGACTTTGTCTCAGATGTTTCTCCTGAGATTACTGGGGTGTTTTCTCAGGAGAAACATCTGAGAAGGAGGAGACTTCAGAAGTCTTTATTTGCTCTCCATTTTAAGTTTTTGTGTAGGAGAAACAATTCACACGGTGGGTTGGAAATGATTTTGATTTGCACAGTTTTGTATTCATGTGTATGCGTCTGTCACGTCTCACTGACAATGACGTATGTGTTCACAATCAGCCACGAGATGCCTTTTGTGTTACAGTGATGTTCACACTGTGTCTTTATAGGCAAATAATGAGAAACACAAAAAAAAGCAAATTAATCTGAAAATGATTCTTCCACCTTGAAATATAGAGTAGAATATTTCTCTCTTTTTCTTTTGATTGAAACACGTATTTGTTTCTGTCTGTATGGTGCATGTCACTTTCTAAAGAAGTATCAGTCTGACAACTCGTTCCCTTTCCTCCAAAATAAATGCATCTGCATTTCTGGAGACAGTTCAGTGCTGATTTAAAGACGGCTTTAATCTCCAGGACGTTTTGCAATTGCTTTGGCTCAGTGCAGCAATATAAAGAGACATCTCAGAGGAGGTTTCAAACGAGATCAGATTTATTCTGGTACTTTCAGTTCTACTAAATTGCTTTAATCAAGGCAATCTGACACAACTATAGATCTCCTGCTTTCACAGTCTCCTGCTTTGCTGTTTAAAATATGATATCTATCTATCTATCTATCTATCTATCTATCTATCTATCATCTATCTATCTATCTATCTATCTATCTATCTATCTATCTATCTATCTATCATCCATCCATCTTATGTCAAAGTAATGAAACCTACACTTCAGTAGGTGAACCAGATGTTGATTCTTAGTTCATTTAGTGAAGGATTTATCAGACGGATTCAAACTAAACTGTTACAGTCTTTTTACAGTTTTTTTACTATTGAGAACAAAACATTTTCTTGTCATTATTTTGTATACAAACTCAAAAATCATGATGTACTGCATGATTTTCTAGTATCATATTCAACTTTTTGTTGGTAGTTAGTTGCTGTTGTTAGAAATTGATGTATCATCCTGGCATTATTATATATCTAATGCATTTAAAATATGCTTATTCACCTAATCCTTCGGTGTGTTTTCTTCTAGACGATGCTCACTGCCATCTCCATGAGTGCCATTGCCACGAACGGTGTCGTGCCAGGTAAGCAAGCCCCTGCTAGAGCTTAACATGTGCATGTGGGTCGTCTTGGCAACGGGAAGCGGTCACCGTAGCGACAATAACTCCGAGCAATGAGCAGACAGCAATATCCTCAAAGCTGTATTTATGTATTCATAATTGGCCGAGCGTGTCCTGTCCTAATGACCGCCTCGATCTCATCTCCTGATTGGAGGAGAGCAGAGGTGAGGTGAAATTGCCGGGTTCGGTTCCCCGTCCGTTGTTCGTCAGCAATAAGCTGCTATTATCTCTATAGTGCTAAAAGCCTCTATAAGCATGCTTAATATTTTCCAAGAAACAGGAAGTTGTAATTGTGGGTTGTATTGTGCTGTTTTTCTGCGCCGTCAACATCAGAATGCTTCGGTAATATCCCAGCAGATCGTCACTTCTTCAAATGCAAGTTTCCTGAAAGGGTTTTCTGTTTGCATCGACAGCTGGAGGCTCCTATTACATGATCTCTCGCTCTCTGGGCCCTGAGTTCGGTGGAGCTGTAGGCATCTGCTTCTACTTGGGCACCACCTTTGCTGGAGCCATGTACATCCTGGGCTGCATCGAGATCCTGCTGGTGAGATCAACAACCTGTGTGAACCTCGCTAAGACACATTTCTCAATTCTTAAGTCACTTTTTCTCTTCACACAGCTCTCATAACCAAGTTTAAGCTTGGCACAGCAGTACATGTCATGTTAAAAATGCACTTAATGCCAAAACACTTCATGCATGTCTCAAATCAAGTCAGGTTGAAGGTTGTCACCCAACAAATGCACTTTGCGAAATAATGACCTACAGGAAGTAGCATTACACATTGTTTTCTTTTGCAAAATTACATATACAAATGTAAGAAATCACTGCAGTATTTGTGACGTGGTTCATGTTTGCACTACAGTAAAAAATTATTCTTAGGTTTCTCTTTTTGTATCGATGAAATGCAAGACTGACACTTTTTTAAGACTGAATCTTTTTTAAAATTTAAATATATTTAAGTATAGTATTGCTGTAGAAATGTAGCAAATTTGAATGTTTTGAACTTAAGTTTTTTTGTTTTGTTTTTTATTTTTAAGTATGTGAATGAGCAAAGTTTTGGTGATGATTGTGTCCTAATAAGAAAAGAATTGATGCTATTTTAAAGATGCAGTCATTGAATGCATTTTGTGCCAAAGCAATGATAAATGATCCACAGTTGTGAAAAGTTTAAGTCCTAGCAATTGATTTTTGCATGAAGGTACCTCTGAGGGCAAGCGATTTCACACTGGGTTTTAACACATAATTGTCATGTGTCCAGTTTTAGAGATAAACAAGAATATTTAAAGTAATAATTCGAAAAGGCAAATCCTGTCAATTACTCATTCTCGTGTCACCTGTACAAACCAAATGAAAAAACAACTTTGAATGTTCGCGTAGAACATGCAGTACTTTAAAGATTATGATTTTGTTTTGATATATTTGGCATGTGGTTTATTTGGTAACAATTTACAATATGGTTTCATTTGTTAACATTATATTAGTTAACATGAACAATACCTATACAGCATTTATTTATCTTAATGTTAAGTTTGACATGTACTAATAGAGTAGTAAAATCAAAAGTTGTATCTGATAACATTACTTAATGGACTGTGAACTAACATGAACATGAACATTTTTATTAACTAACAATAACAATGGTTAATTAATGCATGCTGCATTATACAAATATATTGTTCATATATTTCTTCTGCAGAGCATAAAAGAATATTTTGAAGAATGTTGGAAACCAAACAGTTTTGATTCCCATTTACTTCCATTGCATGGACAAAAAAATTCAATTCAAGTCAATGGAAACCAAAACTGACTATTGCTTTAAAAGGAACACATTTCTGGTTTGGTCTTGATGAAAGGGTACTTGAACCTGAATAAGGGTTCAGATTTTGAATCTGTTTCTCTCACAACTCTTGCATGGCTTCAGAAAATGTTTTAATATAAAGCATAAGTTGTATGGACTACTTTTGTCTTTTTGAGATCTTGTCGGCGCACTGGTCACTGTATTATTTTGTGGTGCATGGGCATTCAGCTAAACTTCTCTTTTTGTTCTCCACGAGAGAAGCAAAGTCTAAATATGGATTTGGAATGACATGAGGCTGTACTAAAATAATTTTATCAAAAGACTTTTATTCTTTAAATGCACGCACACAGCATCACTGGCAGTGGCAGCGAAGGGCCCGCTCTAAACTGCCTTTAAAAATCAGATCAAGACATCACAGTAGTCAGGATGTTACGCAAAAACACTGCAATCATATGTCTACATGCATTTTTTAAAAAGTTGATTTCATTTCTTCTTGTTCATCAGTCTTTCTCTCTCTCTCGTCCTGCTTTCCTCCCCTCCTCTTACAGCAAGTAATTAAGTAATTATGCAGACTCTGCGTTTAATTGCAGCGCTGATGGGCGCTAGCGTGTCCTTCGAGCTTTGCTCATCTGGTGTTTTAACACACGTGTTCTCGTTGCTCATGTATTTCATATTGCATTGCTGGTCAGGGGCTCCAGTGTGTCTGACTTCTGGGTTAATTCTGTCTTCCGGGGGAACATAGGCTTAACTCCCATTGTCCATGCAAAATCTTCCCTGCGCTCTGAGATCGGCAGGTCCGCGACGTGCTGATTTGAGCGAGAATTTTATCCAGCCTACGGTTCAGAAGGACACTAAGACGTCTATTTAAAGTGAGCCGTCGCTTTTAGATTAAAGCTGTATTGTGTAACCCAGCAGATATTATAAAAATGAATAGCGACTAGCTGATCATATATGTGTGTGTTTCAGCAATTGAACAGCACTTATTCGCTTCCCACATGCAGATCACGCAGTCTGTGAAGAGCACTGAATCCTGAGGGAACACCACCGGTTGATGAAAAAATAATAATAATGATAAACATGTAAATATTCAAACTTTTTAAAAATATATATATATATACTGTATATAAAAAGTAATAATATTATACAATATTTATTTAATGGCAAAAATGGGTGAATCTCGTGAGAAAAAAAAATCCCGGTCATGTGAATATGTGAATATGTTTTTCATTCATTTTTAGGATTTTTTTTTTAGCATATTTTAATTTAGAGATTATTTAGATGAGATGTTTTTTCTAAAGTGAAAAATGTTAATATAATATATATTATATAAATGATTGTTTTAAGTCTACTTTATGGTTTATATGGCATACAGATTTGTTATTTAATATTATACAGTGTTTATTTAATGGCATAAAATGGGTGAAACTTCTGAAAAAATATCTGGGTCATGTGAAAATGTCCTGGGAAAAAAATATATTTTTCCTAAATTATATTTTTGCTAAATTTTTTGGAACAGATTTTTTTCATTTTGAGGCAATCAACCCTCTATGGTACAGAGTTGCCACATGCCAACAATTAATTTCTACTTATTTCCTTGTTATTCTGGAAAAAAAATACAATATATTGCAATATGGTAATTAAAAGGGTCGGCCTTAAGGTAGCCAATGATGGGCTGTTTTTAAGTAAAATCACATTTGAATGTTCCTTCAAAACACTTTTTCCCACTGTCACCCTCACATGGAACGCACCTGTTGAAGCGCTCCAGAAATTGCTCTGTTATGTCATCTCTTCTCAAGGGGGATTTTTTTGCATCATCTTTGGTTAGTAAATTACATATTTTTATTCACAAATCAACACTGTCTAACATAGTTTTACTGTAAATTGAGAACATTTCAACACTGTACATAAGGAAAAATAGGCATGTTGCCATATGGCAACGCTGTACCACAGTGGAATTGAAGTAATGTATTTCCCCATTGGGATTTTTTATAGATAGTAACATCAATAATATGATTGCATTTGTTTATATATTTGAAGTGTTTATTGTAGTATAGTTGCATTTATGTATGAATAAGAAATTTATTTATTCTTTTCAGAAAATGAACACAGCTATATTTCAAGGAAAGTGCTTTTCCATGTGATGACAATGAGGATGAGTTATTCTTCAGTGACCGTAACAATGAGTGTGTGTGTGTGTGTGTGTGTGTGTGAGTGTGTGTGTGCGTGCGTGTATGTGTACCTGGTATTTATCACATTATGGGGACCAAATGACATTTTTGAGGTCCCCATGAGGAAACAAGCTTATAAATCATACAGAATTAGTTTTTTGAGAAAGTAAAAATGCAGAAAGTTTCCTGTGAGGGGTAGGTTTAGGGGTAGGGTTGGTGTAGGGCAATAGCACATACAGTTTGTACAGTATAAAAACCATTACGCCTATGGAGAGTCCCCATAAAACATGGAAACACAACATGTGTGTGTGTGTGTGTGTGTGTGTGGATGTGTATATGTGTGTGTCTGTATGTGTGTATGGCAGATTTTGATGGAAATTAAGACTAGATGCATCAATTTTTAAAAGAAATGTGCATTTAAATTGAAAAGAAAATCATAATTTAATAGAAAAACAAATTTTTTGGCCATTTTCCATTGTGGTTTTCCTAAATACAAAGAAATTTAAATCTGTTTTGATTTGTATAATTGAAGCTATTTCATGTAATATATAGAAAAAATATTTCATGGTTAGAACATAATGCATACCATAGAGGGTTAAGCATATTTTCATTTAAAGATCATTTAGATGAGATGCTTTTTTTCTAAAGTGGAATATAACAATATAACATATTTCTTTTTTGGGGTGAATTATGACCCAGACATAATCTTGACAGATTGCATAAGATTCCCAATAATTTCTCACTTTTATCCTTCTTATAAGGGGGAAAATATGAAACAGTTTAATGAACGATGCAATGTATTGTGCTTAGAGCGGTGAAACGGAGCATATGCACCCAAAAGTTTATGGCATTGATTATAATTTAGGTAAGGTCTCTAATAAGAGCTAATGGCAGTCCATTTGCAGTATTAATTCCACGCTTGACTAGTTCAATTAGCGCTTGTAGAACTGAACTCATGCTTGTCTGTTTTACCGCCTGTGTCATTGTGAATCTCACTCATCTCTCATTATTTTGTCCCTCTTTGTATGTTTGCTATTCTTTGGCTCTTTTTGTAGTTTTATACTTATTTTTAGATTCATCTTGTTTGTTTGATGAGGTTTGTTTTTATCATTTGTACACACTTTTTCTGATATTCTGACCTTTAACCCTCCCCAATCTTGTTTCTGTATTATATTTGACTGTTCAGATTCTGTTATAAACAAGTATATAACAAAAAAAATAATTATAAAATAAAACAATAACCTTTTAAGTCTCCACAAGCAAGTTTGTTAGAAAGATTAATGTCAAACATAGTCCATTTGGTTATTGTTTGGATTGAAATGATGATCTGAACAGGTTTTTGTCAGAAAAGCACAGTTACAGTATATATTTATAATGTAATACATTTATAATGACAGAAGGCATATGTCTTCAGAAGGTTTTAGCTAAAAGTACACAATATTTAATTTGACAGACACTTTTATGGGTAATTTATTATCAGAGATGCAGTTTAACAAGAAAAAAGTGAAATAATGAGGACAGCAGGTCAACGGCATCCCTAAACATTAAAGATTAAGTCTATAAAGTCTCAGGAAAATTATTTTATCACAGAATATTGATTGGCAGACCTAATTATTTTTGTTCTTTTTAATTCCCTTTTACAGTGGGGCAAAAAAGTATTTAGTCAGCCACCAATTGTGCAAGTTCTCCCACTTAAAAAGATGAGAGAGGCCTGTAATTTTCATCATAGGTATACCTCAACTATGAGAGACAAAATGAGAAAAAAAAATCCAGAAAATCACATTGTAGGATTTTTAAAGAATTTATTTGCAAATTATGGTGGAAAATAAGTATTGGGTCAATAACAAAATTTAATCTCAATAAATTCATTTTTCCTCCTTCCACCTTATTTTCTTCCCCTATCTCAGGTGTACATCGTACCACAAGCGGCTATTTTTAAGATGGAGGGTCTGGAGGGAGCCGAGGCCGAAGCTGCCATGCTGAACAACATGCGTGTTTACGGCACGCTGGTGCTCAGCTTCATGGCCATTGTGGTGTTTGTAGGAGTGAAGTACGTGAACAAGCTGGCGCTCGTCTTCCTCGCCTGTGTCATCTGCTCGATCCTCGCCGTCTACGCTGGAGTGATCAAAACCGCCTTTGAGCCTCCGGTCTTCCCGTATGTGCCTCAAATATTACAATCACATATATCAGATATATCTAATGGGGGTCGACCTAGTATTGGCCTGGCCGATTATCGGCGCCGATATTAAGTTTTATGGTTATCGGTATCGTCATTTTCTAAACCGATTTGCCGATAAAATAATTTAAAAGCATGTTGTAGCCATTTAAGAAAGTGTATTTTTATTTTATATTATTTATGTTTAAATATTATTTGTTTGTGTTTTGTTTAGTTAAATTTGTTAATTAAGAAAGAAAATTGTAAACATCATAATGACGTGGTAAATCGGACGGCAGTACGCCGGAAGAAACAAAGTGGGTCAGACATAATTTTTTGACCACCTTATACGTTTTTGTTTGTAGAATCCCTTTTTTGGAACAAGTTTCGATTGGTATAATTTGTATCTTCATTTTAATATGTTTTTTGTTGGTCAATTATTTACCTAAATAAACAAGAAGAAGAAATAAACGTTTCGTGGAACGAAGTGCGTTCAAGACAAAGAGCGCTACCATGCTTCCACGGCCAAAACAACAAAGCATTTAAAGAACATTATTGTCAGAGCCTTTGTTATTCTTAATTTTGACATTCATTTTCATTTTTACACCAGACAAAAATATCGGTTCAAAATATCGGTTGTCAGTAGGGCTGCACGATGCAATAAAACATGTTATTAAATGTGGTATTTTGTTGGACAAGAGGATCTTAAATGCTTCTCATGTTTGGAAAGATGTTTAACGCATGTTGCTTTTTTCAAATGCACATTATAAACGACACTAACTCGCCGGGTAAAGGCTCGATGGTATACAGAATAAGCATTTACTACACAGAGCCATAGTTCATTGACAAGCTACACAAACTGCTTTCTCCACGGCCAAAACAACAAAGCATTTAAAGAACATTATTGTCAGAGCCTTTGTTATTCTTAATTTTGACATTCATTTTCATTTTTACACCAGACAAAAATATCGGTTCAAAATATCGGTTGTCAGTAGGGCTGCACGATGCAATAAAAACATGTTATTAAATGTGGTATTTTGTTGGACAAGAGGATCTTAAATGCTTCTCATGTTTGGAAAGATGTTTAACGCATGTTGCTTTTTTCAAATGCACATTATAAACGACACTAACTCGCCGGGTAAAGGCTCGATGGTATACAGAATAAGCATTTACTACACAGAGCCATAGTTCATTGACAAGCTACACAAACTGCTTTCATAATCGCAGAACGATTTTATCGATTTCATAATCGCGCAAATAAATCGGTCTGCAGTTATGAAAAGGTTTTGCGTAGCTTGTCAGTAAACTACGACTTCATTGTTAGTTTCCAGCCGCAGCGATATCCCTTCTAGCCACAACCCTGGAAAGACGTGCATTACCTTTCTTCTGTGGAGCATATTTGGAGTTTCAGCGTGAGAGCGCCCTCTGGCCTTTGGATGGAGATTTACTACTGATCACAGAACCATGCTTCACTGAAAGATACGCATGACAATCGCATTCGATTAATCGTGCAGCCCTAGCAGTCTACTTGACTTGTAATAATCGGAATTGGTCCTGAAAAACACATATCGCTCGACCCCTAATATCTAACTGAAGTTGCTTTTTGTCCTTTAGAAATGATTTAGTTTGAAATTATTTCCACAGAGTGTGTGTGCTGGGAAACCGAACTCTGGTTTGGAAAGGCTTCGATGTGTGCGCTAAGGTCATCGAGAGAGAAAACGCCACGGTCACCACCAAACTCTGGCGGCTTTTCTGCGACTCCGAGTTCCTGAACGCCACCTGTGACAGCTATTTTGCCAACAACAACATCACGGAAATACAGGGAATCCCCGGAATTATGAGTGGCACACTACGCGGTAAATGCAGCCACAAAATGACATCATAATCATAACCATGCTTTTGGTGTCAATGAGATATTTTTTTGTTTTTTGGAAAGAAAGAAAGAAATTAACAATTTTATTCTGCAAGAATGCATTGCAAATAGATTAAAAGTGACATTTATAATGTTACAAATAAAGATTCTAATAAATGCTGTTTTTTTACTTTCTATTCATCAAAGACTCAACTGTTTTCAACATTCACAATAAGAAATGTTTCTTGAGCAGCAATTCAGCATAGTAGAATGATTTCTGAAGGAAATTCAGTTTGATCACAGAAATAAAATACATTTGAAAATATTTTCAAATAGAAAATAGTTATTTGAAATGATAAGAATATTTCACAGCATTACCAGTTTTAATAAATGCAGCCATACAGAAAAAATACATATTTTTCTAATTATTTTGTATGTTTTAGAATATACAAAAAAAATTGCCAAAAATATATTTGCTAAATATTTTTCAAAATATATTTATGCAAATTGAATTTTTGGTCATTTTTGTATTTTGTGGAAAATATATTAATAAATGTATAAATGTCTTTTTTTAAAGCATTTAAACATATATTTTGCCCTCCATATATTTCAGTCCAAGAAAACACATTCACACGTCACCACTGAAGAAAATCTTTTTGTTGCTTATAACACGTATGAACACATAACACATTTGAATAAAAATAAACAATGAATAGAGCCTAAACATAGGCTACTGTAAGACTAGAAATGTATTTTCTTGCCCCTGAAATAAATAGAAAAATATTTTGGTTTATGAAATTTTCAATTTCAAAAATATATTGAATTGAGCTTCACTGTTTACATATATTTAGCATAAATTGAAAGTATATTTTGGCAAATGTATTTTTGCCATACTGGATGATGAGCCTAAGAGACTTCTTTCACAAACATTAAAAATCTTACTGACCCAAAACTTTTGGACGCTAGTGAACCTACAGAAGATATTCGCTTTTGTCTATGAACTTTTGTATGAGGATATTAAAATAAAGTTTATTTTTTCAAATTCAAACTTTTCCTCTGTGTCTGCTTACCATTGCTATTAATATTGCTCATATTTAGTGTTAATGATCTGAACAAGCCTCTAACACTGATGATAAATAATGTACACATTTTTCATATTCTCTCGCTTTGTTTCCCTATTTCTCTCTTCCAGAGAATCTCTTTGGGAATTATATGGATAAGGGTTCTTTCATTGAGAAAGTGGGATTATCTGCCGCAGTCGAACCTGATTCCATACCGACCAACACCAACCGCTACGTGCTTGCGGACATCACCTCCTTCTTTACCATGCTGGTGGGCATCTACTTCCCCTCCGTGACAGGTAGAGTCTTCTCTTGACAGCCCTGATCTCATCCATCATTTATGATTATCAAGTCAAGTCAAGTCAAGTCAAGTCTGCTTTATTGTCAATTCTTCCACATGTACAGCACATACACACAGAGAATTGAAATTGCGTTACTCTCAGACCCTTGGTGCATACAGATAACATAAATACAGATTAAATACAAAATACAACTATACAAATATACAAATAAGGTAAAATGTAAAAATATATATATAAAGCACAAGGCATATGGCAGATAGAGTGCAAACCAGTAAAGTAAACAACAGTGCAGATATAGTGATTGTAGTGCAAAAAAAATGATTTGTAGTGCAAAAGAGCTTATTTAGACTGATTAAAGTGACAGTGTGTGTGTGTGTATTTGGGAGGGGGGAGTGGGAGAGATGAAAATTGACAATTATGAAAATTGACCTTGTGGATCAGAATGCATAAGAATATTCTACGCTTCTAAAATAAAGGGGGCTTTTCATAGCGATGCGATGTCACAAAAGAACCAAAACTTCCTTTTTAGAACCATTTTTAAAAACCTTTTTTCCACTATACATTTTTTGCAATGGAAAGGTTTAATGAATGTTCAAATGGAACTTTAGATGCCAATAATGAATGTTTCTATTTAAAAGTTTATATTAAAAAAAGTCTGGATTTTCCACATTTTAGAATACAAGTCATCAAAGCTATGAAATAACCCAAATGGAAGTACGGGAATGATGTAGTAAGCAAACATTGTAGACATTCTATGATCTGTCTTGTTTTGAACAGGTATCATGGCTGGATCAAACCGATCCGGTGATTTGCAGGACGCCCAGAAGTCCATTCCCATCGGCACCATCCTGGCCATCACCACCACCTCCATCATCTGTATCCTCTCTTAGAGAAACACACACTGTGCTCTACCTGGTGGACACAGTCTGATATAACACCCTCCTGCAGTGCAGTTTATGATATTAGTGATCAAATATCACATGACTCATTTTAGTGATTTAATCAAATCAGTTTGCAAAAAGTCTCTGGCAATATTCAGTTTATTACAAACGAATCCTGTGTGGTTGTTGGTAAGTTTTTGAACGAACTGTCCAAATTAACCGATTCACTAAAACGAGTCAGTCTTCTCAATTCTAATATGCATTATGTAAGCCTAGTAATCACTCTGTGGAGAAGCCAAAAGCCTTAGAAACAATCAAACCCGCTGATACAGTTAATGTTTATCAAAAAACAATGTTCTTTAACTGAAGTATTCAGACATGTCCAGTGTGTTTCTGTTTGGTTCCTGCATCGAGGGAACGGTGCTGAGGGATAAGTATGTTATGTGTTTAAAATGTTTCTTGTCTCTCTTAGTTCATGAAAAAAAAAACTAGCATTTAAATGTTTAGAGTTGGTAAGATTATTAATATTTTTAAAAAGAGTCTCTTATTCTCACCAAGGCTGCATTTTGTTTAACCAAAAATACAGTAAAAACAGTAATATTGTGAAATATTAATACAGTTCAAAGTAACTGTTTTTTTATTTGAATATATTTTAAAATGAAATTTATTTCTGTGATGTGCAGCTGAATTTTCAGCATCATTCCTCCAGTCTTCAGTGTCACATGATCTTCAGAAATCATTCTAATATGCTGATTTGCTGCTCAAGAAACATTTCTGATTATCATCAATGTTGGAAACAGTTGTGCTGCCCAATATTTTTCTGGAAACTGTGATGTGTTTTTATTTTCAGATGAACAGAAAGTTCAAAAGAACATCATAAATGTCTTCACTGTCATTTGATCAGTTGTATGCATCCTTGCTGAATAAAACCCCAAACCATTGAGCAGTAGCATAATTCTTTGTGTATGTTTGTGCATCTCAGGTTTGGTGAGGCGGTCAGGGGGAATCTGGTGATCGGGACACTGGCGTGGCCGTCGCCCTGGGTCATCGTCTTCGGTTCCTTCTTCTCCACCTGCGGAGCGGGGCTTCAGAGCTTGACGGGTGCTCCGCGTCTCATGCAGGCCATCGCTCGAGACGGCATCGTGCCATTCCTCAGGGTGAGCCTGCACACATGTGATGAGTGTTTAGTCTCTGACTTTCAACATAAAGTCAGATTCACATTGTAGCTTATTCTGGCCAAGAGCTGCCAGCACTGACCTTGTGTTTAGCTGTTCATGGGCATTTGTGTGTGTGTGTGTGTGTGTGTGTGTGTGTGTGTGTCTGTCTGTGTGTGTGTGTGTGCGTGTGTCTGTGTCTGTGTCTGTGTCTGTGTGTGTGTGTGTGTGTGTGTGTGTGTGTCTGTCTGTGTGTGTGTGTGTGCGTGTGTCTGTGTCTGTGTCTGTGTCTGTGTGTGTGTGTGTGTGTGTGTGTGTGTGTTGCAGGTGTTTGGTCATGGAAAAGCAAACGGGGAGCCCACCTGGGCGTTGCTTCTGACCGCATGTATCTGTGAGAGTGGAATTCTCATCGCTTCTCTGGATAACGTCGCTCCGATTCTCTCCATGTAAGAGACGATACGGATATACAACGGCCTCAGAGAGTGTTTGCACATTTAAATCACACATAAAAATGACTGAATGTCTTTGCATTAGATAATACAGTTTAAAATTAAGTAGCATTCATCAGTGTTGTTATTGTTATCTGAAATTAAAACTATTCAAAAATGTTTTTGCCAGTTGAAATAAAGCTAAAATAAAATATAAATATAAAATATTACATGAAAACCAAAACTTAAATATAAATTAGAACTGTTGCCATGTCAGATTACTGGAATAAAATATGTTGAAGAATTAAAATGACTAAAACTAAGACTAAAATCAAAATAAATTAAAGATAAATAGAAATACTTAAAAAAGACACACACATAACAAAATAACTGAAACGTAAAAAACTCAAATTAAAATGAAAACTGTTCATATAAATATGAATTAACTATTAATGTATGTTATATAAAATTTTATTTTTATTATATTATATATAGACATATTTATATTCATGTTTAACAATTTAAATACAAAACTATTTAAGCTAAAATTGAATAGAAAATGGAAAATATGAAAATAAAAGCTAATTCTAAATAGTATTAAATTTAAATAATACTTAAATAACAATGATTTAATTAAATGAACCAAACTGATTTTTAGTAGTTTAAGGTTTAGTTTTAGTTAACAATATTACTATATTAACATTGATCCACTAAACAAAAACAAACAAACAAATACTGTCTGTTTGGGTCATTTTTGTTTTCAATAAATGTTATTTAATTCAATATTTTTTTACTATAACAATCACATTGAGACATTTTAAGTGTGGTTTAAGGGTCCAAACATTTGAGCCATAATCCCGGGTATCCGTTTCTGTTTCTCGACATTTTCGTGTTTGTTTCTCTCGTGTGGCGGCAGGTTTTTCCTCATGTGCTACATGTTTGTGAATCTGGCCTGTGCTGTTCAGACTCTGCTCAGAACGCCCAACTGGAGACCGCGATTCAAGTTCTACCACTGGTGAGCTCCAGAGCACCGCGTCTTGCCGTTTGCTGTGGCTTTACTCGTATTTGTACACTAACATTTGCCTTCCTGTTTTCCAACAGGACTCTATCCTTCCTTGGCATGAGCCTTTGTCTCTCGCTCATGTTCATCTGTTCTTGGTACTATGCCATCGTTGCCATGGGAATCGCCAGCTGTATCTACAAATATATTGAGTTCCGAGGGTAAGTGGATTGTGACCCGGAGTCGGGGCGGAAAACCAAGACGATGGATTAGAATTGAGTTTCAGGTGTTTGACCTGTCAGGATTTTTAGATCCCTCGTAATCCGGCCGGGGAAGAACAGCTGAAATCTGCTCCAGGATTTGATTCGTTGAGTGCCTTTCCTTTGGAAACACTTCTAGAGTCAAGGCGAACAGTGACCCGAGTCTTTCGCCGGAAATTAAAGACAAGGAGAAAATTGGCGGCAAGATTATGGAGTCTGAGGCTGTGTGCGGATTTGAATTCTTACTGCATACTGCGCAGTATATACTGCATGCTTACAAACAGAAGCAATATAAATAGCAGTATGCCTATGTCATCGTCATCATTTTATACAAATCTGAGTCAAAAAATGAGTCAAAATGCAAGGTCAAATTGTGTGCATTGCATTGTGGGATACAGTAGCTAGCACATGTACTAGGTCATCAAGGTTTTGCATGCAATCCAAAAAATTGTATGCAAAATAATAGACATATACAATATACTGCAGACATAGGCACGAGCACTCACGGAAAAAAACAAGATTTTCTCTATTCGTTTTAACCAATTAAAATATCTGGTGAGATTTGGGAACCTCTCTTATTGGTGGATCTCACATCAGGTCGTAATGCACACAAATGTCTTATTAGAGTTGCTCGTTAATGGAGTGGCTTTTGTTACGTTCCCGAAATCAGCCAGTGATCTTAAAAAGATATAAGTGTCAGATAAGTATGGTATTTCATACTTCCATGAATACTTCGTTTATATGGCAGTATGCTTTAAAGTCGGGAAAAATGAACAGGACATTTATGCATTTCCTCTGTAGATGTGTATCAACAGTTAGAACAAACATCTCTACTTCATGTACAAGGATTTCATCCAGTATACTTGTGCATCTGATTACATCTTACATGTGAAGGATTTGGTTTTATTTAAAACACAGAAGCATGCTGACTTAGCATGGACTCTGATTTCCGATTTCAACAGCTCTAATATTAAGTAATAAATAATGTCATATGCAGCCAATGTAAACTTTATTATAAGAAAAACAAAAAAAAGATATCCTTAAGTGTATCTGCAAGACTGTATCTGGTGCACATTTGGTATGGAGGGTGGACACAGTAAATCAGCATCTATGAATGCAGATATAGTGAAAGTAAAAAGTTAGAATGGCATTCTGAACATGAACAGAGTGTGTGAAAAAGATGTGTGTGTGTGTCTGTGCTGACAGGGCAGAAAAGGAATGGGGTGATGGAATAAGAGGTCTATCTCTCAGCGCGGCCCGCTTCGCCCTCATGAGGTTGGAAGAGGGACCACCACACACCAAGAACTGGAGGTAAAAAAAAAAGTACAAATCGCGTATGTATAAATTATAATAATACTATTATAAATACAGTATGCAATTGTATCATTTATATATTTATATTAATAGTTTTTCATCAATAGAAATAGGCTGAAATAAAATTTAATAAAAAAACATAAAAAATGAAATAAAAATACTAAATGAAAAGCTAAACTTTAAAAAAAAAAAAAGTTTCCTTGTCAGCTAACTGGAATAAAATATGTTGAAGAATATGTTGGACTAAAATAAAGACTTCAATTAAACAATAAATTAAATCTAAATAGAATTTTTGAAAAACACAACGTTAAAAACTAAACTTAAAATTCTCAAAACTGTTAATACAACTATTAATTAACAATTGATATAATTACATAAAATATATTTGATTTATTTTTTATGTGTGTGTGTGTGTGTATTATTTATGTAATCTACATATTCATATTTATATGATTATACTTAGGTAATATGTAAATATGTATTTGTTAAATATTGTATTTTTATACAAATAATAAATATATACTTATTTTAAACATGTTTGTATGTATTGTTATTTATGTATAAATATGGTTGTATATGTTTCTTCGATTTAATATTTGTAATTATTTATATATATATATATATATATATATATATATGTATATATATATATATATATATATATATATATATTTGTGCTGGATTTTAAAGGTACAGTATTTATGTTATTGGTCTTGTTGCGCATGTGTAAACTTTATTCTCAGACCTCAGATATTAGTCCTGGTCAACATGGATTCTGAGCTGAACGTGGAGCAGCCGCGTTTACTGTCTCTGACCAGTCAGCTGAAGGCTGGGAAGGGTCTGACCATCGTGGGCACAGCGCTGGAGGGAACCTACCTGGAAAACCATCCTCAAGGACAGCAGGCCGAACAGGTGACATTCACACAAACACAGCACGGCTAGTGAACTACCTGCTTAGACAGCATACATATTTATTTGTGTTCTAATGTAATTCCCCACTTTGTTTTGTGTCTCAAAGTCTCTGAGGAAGCTCATGGAGGCGGAGAAGGTGAAGGGTTTCAGTCAGGTGGTCATTTCTTCTAACATGAGGGACGCCACGTCACATTTGGTCCAGGCCGGAGGTTTGGGTGGTCTTCAACACAACACCGTTCTGGCCTGCTGGCCGCGCAACTGGAAACAGGCCGAGGATCATCAGAGCTGGAGAAACTTCATTGGTGAGAGGCAGAAGCACTGTTTCTTCCAATTCACTCTTATTTAAAGGTTCTGTGTTGGCACTGATGATTCCACGAAGAGCCTTTAACAACCATTGAACCTTTACTTTCCTCAAAAGGTTCTTTATAGTGGAAAAGGGTTCTGTAGATTTTTTAAATGTTCTTCGCACTACACTCATAAAAAATGTGACCCTGGACCACAAAGTGTAAATTTTTCAAAATTGAGATTTATGCATCACCTGAAAGCTGAATAAATAGGTTTGTTAGGAGGACAATATTTGACTGAGATACAACTATTTGAAAATCTGGAATCTGAGGGTGCAAAAAAAATCGAAATATTAAGAAAATCAGCTTTAAAGTTGTCCAAATGAAGTTCTTAGCAATGCATATTACTAATCAAAAATTAAGTTTTTATATATTTACGGTAGGAAATTTACAAAATATCTTCATGGAACATGATCTTTACTTAATATCCTAATGATTTTTGGCATAAAACGAAAATCAATAATTTTGACCCATACAATGTATTTTTGGCTATTGCTACAAATATACTCCAGCGACTTAAGACTGCTTTTGTGCAAATAAGGTTTTGTTGGCACCGATAGTCTTGTGGCCAGCGATATATAGTACTGTTGCATCCTGAGTTTGAATCCCGGCTCGAGGACCTTTCCCTCTCTCCCACTTCACTTCCTGTCACTTCTATACTGTCCTATACTAATAAAGTAACAAAACAGAAAATAAATCAAGGTTTCAAAAGGTGGTTTTCACAGCGATGCCATAGAAGAACCTTTTTTTTTGGTTCCCAAAAGAACCTTTCAGTGAAGTTAAACAGTTAAAATAACCATTTTTTATGGAAGCTTGTTTCTGGGAAAATAAAAAGCATAAAAAGGTAATTGTGACTTTTTATCTCACAAGTCATTATATTTATTTATTTATTTATTTATTTATTGTAATTAATTTTTGTACATACTCTTGAGTCAGTATGTAAGGTTTCACAAACACACTGCTCTGCGCTGCGGCAGCTGTTAAAGTCATTGCATCATATGTGTTCGTGCGAGTCTGTTCTGTGTTATCACAGCTAAACTATGAAGCTCTACAGCAGCCAGACTGAGCAGGTGCAGCTTCACATCTCATGCCACAGATGTTCACTGGTGAATTTGAAGAAGAAACGAGCGATGGTTTAATTCATTTGATTTGGAATGGATCCCAAAATAGTTACAGAAATAGACAGTGCTGCTGAATACAAGTGTTTAATTATCAGCTGATCCTGCTCGAGTATTGATTCTGTATAGATACAATCGATTAAGGATGGGCGGGATCAACAAAATCTCAATATGAATGAATGTAGGTTACAGTTTGATAATATAATGACTTTTACTGAAAATTCAACCAGAAAATGATTAAAAAAAGGGCATTATCATTTAGTTTTGTACTATACAAACTAAATGATAATGCCCTTTTTTTAATAATCCAGTAAATTAAATATAAATAAGAACCAATTATTATATTTACATATATCTATTATGTATTATGTACAGTATATATCTATTGTTATTGTTATGAATTATGTATTTTTTCATGTACGTGTGTGTGTGTACCATTATTTATATATGTATATATATATATATATATATATATACCATTCAAAATTAAAGTTTGGGATCAGTAACATTTTTTTATTATAATTTTTTTTAAGAAGTGTCTTATGCTCATCAAGGCTGTGTTTGTTTGTTTAAAATACCATAAAAGCAGTATTATTGTGAAATATTATTACAATTTAAAGTAGCAGTTTTCTATTTGAATATATTGTAAAATGTAATTTATTTCTGTGATGTGCAGCTGTATTTTCAGCATCATTACTCCAGTCTTCAGTGTCACATGATCTTCAGAAATACTTTTTTTAACCTGTGATACTTTTTTACTTAAAAAAAAAAAATAATTACAATTTAAAATTTTACTTTTGTTTTATGAAATATTAATTAAATATGTGCTTTATCTTTTTCTTTTTGGAACTTAAACTTGAAGACTCAGATTATGCATAGCAAATGAATAAGCATGACATCAGAGCCACACCATTAAACAAAAGTCTCAAATCAGTAAAAATAATACATTCATGAGTGTAAATAATAAATATAAACATGTTTTCATTACAGAGCTGGTAAGAGAAACCACCGCTGCCAGTGAAGCCCTGCTGGTGCCCAAGAACGTCTCGGCCTTCCCGTCAAACGGAGAGCGTTTCACAGAGGGTCACATTGACGTGTGGTGGATCGTTCATGATGGAGGCATGCTGATATATAACAGAAATTAAAAATAATGTCATACAATTAATATCAAAATCATTTGCAGCTACTTTTGTTTTACTTTTAATTATTTGTATTATTATTATTATTTTTTTATGATTGCATTTTCAGAAAAAGTAGCTGCAGATGATGGCAAAAATGTAGATTTGGATCAGCTATTCCTTATGAACTGTAGACTATATTTTCTTTGTTTTCTCACTGTTTCTGTACAGTTCTGTGAGTAACTCTAGTGCATATATGCATCTCTCTCCTGTATCTTCAGCATGACAGTGATATCTCAGCGTACACGTATGAGAAGACCCTGATGATGGAGCAGAGATCTCAGATCCTCAAGCAGATCAACCTCACCAAGACTGAGCGTGAACGTGAGGTACATGTCCGTCCTCAAGCATTCACTGTCAAGCTCTGTTTATGATCAAACATGCTACTCTACAAACTTGTGCATGTCCATTTTAAAAGCTTAGAAAGATTAAACATAGCAATGTTGACATTTTTTGGCTGGATGCTTTTCATTCTAAAAAGAAACATTTCTTTAACTTCAGTATTTATCTGTACGTCATGGAAAATATCTTTAACATAATATTACATCACAGGATACAAATCCAGTTCAACTGCAAGGCTGCATGTTGAACCTCATTATGCATGACATCACTGCATGTGGGCGGGGCCTCTCCTCTCATTAATATTCTCATCGTTCCTCCCCCTTCAGATCCAGAGCATCACTGACAGCTCTCGCGGGTCGATCCGCCGTAAAAACCCAGCCGCTGTCACGACTCAGCTGAGTGTGACAGAGGAGCCGGCGGCCAGCAGCAAAGAGGAGAAACCAGAAGAAGAGGTACAGCCAGCAATGCTCATCATGTCTTCAGATACCACAGAAACAAATAAATGGCTTTACAGTTTTCATTTTAGATGCCAATAACAGCCACATCGCTTGTGTTGAACATGCTGGGATCTCAGCTTGACTGTCTGGTCTGATATCAGTGTTTTTGTGATGCCTTTCAGAGTAATGGACACGGCAGAATCCATCTCTCTCTCTCTCTCTCTCTCTCTCTCTTTCTCTCTTAAAAGTTATTTATTTTAAATATTTTTAGTTATAAGAAATTCCATTTTAATAATTTAATTTGTATCAATTTGTTTAATTATTATTATTATTTTTTTTTATTATGAAAAAATGTCAATATTGCTATGTTTAATCTTTCTAAGCTTTTAAAATGGACATGCACAAGTTTGTAGAGTAGCATGTTTGATCTTTTTTTTTATTATTATAATTAAACAACTATCAATGGTAAATTATCAAATAATTTATTTTACATTTATTTCTTATTTTAATGAGAATACATTTCATTAATGTATATGGTAAATATTAATTTTAAGTTGTACTTTTAACTCGTCTTTTAATTTAATTCTAAAAGTCAAAACAATAAAAATATATATAATATAATTCATTATAAATATAACTAAAATGAAAGTAATCGGTCAATAAATAAGTTTGTTTTTAATTTTATATTTATTCATTTTCTTAATTTAATAATGATTTATTATTTAATATTATTCATTATGAAATAATGTCAGTTTCATTGAGACTGTAATAAATATAATGAAATACAATTAAATTAAAATGAAAGTAATAATGAAAGTCAATAAATACAAATATTATTATAAAGCAGTCATTTTCATTGTGATCACAATCTTTAACAAAATAACAAAATGATAACAAATTTGTTATTATTGTTGTGATTATTTAACTATATTGTTTATTTTTATTTCATAATAGTTTATGATTTATTATTATTACTTATAATTTAAATATTTATTTGTTTAATTTAAACTCTTTTCATCTCTATCTGATCATTAACGCTTTCTTTTCCTTCTCTTTTGCCCTTACATTCTCCATATGTGCGCATGTGCTGGTCCTGCCCTCTCAGTCTGTCCCTGTGTCCCCATCCCAACAGGAACAGCTCATTCATGACAAGAGTACCAACCCCCCGACCCCGGCCACACCGCAGTCCCCCAGCGCAGACGCCGAGACCCCCGGCACAGCCTCTTTCTTTTTTCCCATTTTGCTATAAAGAAAACCTCAATGTTTGTTGCATTTACAGACAAATCTGTATGAATTAGCTATATCATAGACAAAATCTATATTATATCACACCAGAAATGTCACAGAGCTATATACAGAGCATTATGGTATCTGATTGTATTGCCAAACTTCGATTTCACTCGTGCCGTGTGAAAGAAAATGTGAATTGTCAATAGAAACTAATATTGGTAACAATGTCACTTTAAATGCAAATGCTGCACTTTGAAACTTGATATCTTTAACTTCAAATCAAAGTTGGAATTATTTAATTGCTCGACTTTATATAAAAGCATCCGAAATCGCAGCGGTTTAAGCTACAGTTCAATTTGCATGCTTTCTTTGAGATGTGATTTTGTGTTACTGTGCTGTTGCAAGAAGTGAATTTGTGTGATTTAAAAAAAAAGTAGATTGCTGTCATTATCAACAAAGCTGCATATGGATCCATTTTGGGCGTCACTATAGTTACTAATCATTTCTGGGTCCATAAACAGCTCAGAATAGACTCTTGGTTGTCGTTTGGTAATTACGGTAATTCTGACGTGACGTGAACGCAGCATTAGATTGAGTTGTTATAAAGCATTATGGAAATCTGAACTCTATGCAGCGCGACTGTAACGCATTAGCCAAATCACAAAATGAGATTTCAGATGCAAAATTAACCCAAGATTGTTTGCAAAACGTTGTTTTGATCATAAAAAAGTAGATCAGAAAGTGATTCTATTTTTCAGAGCATAATGTTGGTTATGTGAAATTGGGAAATCATATATTCATTGCATTATTTATTTTTGTAGAGATGTAGGATATTTTATACAGTCTTTTTTTAGCAGAAATACCAACAACTGCATATATACATTTATATATATATATATATATAAACACAAATATATAGATACATATATATAAATAAATAAATATAACTTCAATCTCACTGGGAAGAAAATAGATACAGTAGTTTATTACAGATTATTTTATGTTTAAACATGGGAAAACCTCTCATAAGATGAATGCTGCTGCTAGTGTATGAATAGATATGGATTGTGCGTGTACATAATGCGAAAGATTAAATATTTAAAGTTATATTTACGAGGGGAGGGGCTGACGCTAAGATTGCATATCAGTTCTGGCGTTTGCATCGAAAACGACTTCAGCCTTATGTAATCAGCTTTATCATGTTTTATTTCATTTATTTTCTGTTAAAAGTGATAATTTAAAGTGACGACAACGTTCACTGAATCTAAATTAAACGCAAACCGTGCGTCGAACACAACGTATTTTTTAATATAATACTGCCTGTGTAGACTGAGCCTCTGATGACGTTTCGACAATTAGTTCACTCAACGATGTTTTTAACAAACCACTTACGATATGCTTCGTTTGCATGGTGTGTGTTGGAAAAATTTGATTTTCGTAATGTGAAAAGAGCAGTTCCTGGAAAAATGTCAAGGCAGCTTTTTCAGATTGTTGTCGCGACTCAACGGCAAGATGTTCTTTCGTGTAAACTTAGATTAGCGGGATACTGTGTGTTGTTGTTTTGGGTTTTGTACATAATATCGCTCTCGAGACACTGTAGCTACAGAGTCGTTGTTCCCTGATGTGTTTGTTAGGATGCTTTTAGTACACACCGGAAAAACGATTTTTTTTGTTTTCAACGGTAACGTGCAATATTGATTTCCATGGGAAACAGTACGTATGGCATAATTTTAGTTGCTAGTTCGCACACAAGTCTGCTTCTCGTAGAGTTCATCGGCATGCTTCGTATGCTAGAGAGTGCGTCACATCTGTTCTATGGTGGCTGAGATAGAAATGCACTTTATACGAGTTAACGTTATTTACATCCATGGTGACAGTGACGATTGAGTTGCCAGAATCATGAGCATGCCAGATCCATTTCAGCGCTGATGCCTCTAGCGGCGAGAGTCTGTACTGCATCGGCCATTCGGCCAAGTTATCGCAGACCGGACAGTTTTGTTTGCTGCGGTAACAAACTACCTGAAGATTGATTTTATTATGCTGTAAAACAAAACAAAAAATGTGTGTTTGCTGTTTATTTGGCATGAATTTCTAGCATTTCTTGTAATTAATGATGAAAAGAGTATACGTAGATGTAAAAAAAGAAAAAAGAAAAAGAAGATATATTTCTAATACGAATCACTGAGTTGATGTGGTAACATCTCCATTCCTCCCACTTTTCACTCCCTACGTCATTCCGAACCTACAAGCACTGTTTCGATGTGATCACCGTATAAAAAGACTATAAACAAGCGCTTCCACTGCTGGGCTTGGCTCTATTCAAACTGACAGTGGACACATTCACAATCTTTTTCCTTTCTTCAATATCTCACCATGAATACCTGGCTTGTGTGTAGCAAAAAAATAAATTGTGTATTCCTTCGCCAAGGAATATCGAGGCGTTCGACACATCTCGGAAACAAAAAAGGGCTCTGAATAACAGTCTGTACTTGGTTCTGACCCGCGCCATTGGATGTTCTCCAAAAAAATCATAAAAATGGGAATCTCACTTCATTTTATTAATCCTACACTCTCGGAAATAAAAGGTTGCTGCTGAATTTTAGGTTCTCGCTGTATGAAAAAGTTCTTGATGTTTTCTACAGGTTCTTCAGATCAGATTGGTTTTGGTTTCTAGGTTTTTTTTAAGCACCTGAATATAGTTTAAAAAGGCATTAGACTGTCAAACCTTTATTTTTGAGAGTTTACTCCCATGACATTTACCTCTGAGGACACCTTTTCTTGACATTCCAGTAACTTTGGTAAAAAAACAAAACAGTACAGCTCTTCATGCATGTGAGCAATGAACATGTGAAGCTCTGTGAAAGTCCAAATGTTGAAATCTGAATCAAATCCATCTGAAGCAGTTGAAATAGAGCCAGGACCTGGGTCCGTTGTCCTGTTCAACGCATGCACATTATCCTGAACAAGCTGATATATAAATATATATATAAATATAAATATTTAAATGTTTTGTGATATAAAGTATTACGATCATGCCAGTTTATTTCAGTTATTTAATTGTAAATGTGTTATTTTTACCAGATGTTTGGTGTTCTTGTTGTGCACAAAGGTATCTTAGTGTGAATGGATATTGATTGGTTAAAGGGGTCTATTTTTACTATAGGTAGTTTATAGCCAAGACAAAGACCATTTTGCTTTTACTACAGTTATCGCTGAGGTAATATATTTAAAGAAGAACTGATTACCAAAGTTATTTATGTTAACCTGGGTATGTGTTTAGTCTACTGCAAACTCATTCTGAATTAATTAAAAAGAAACTTGAGGGTTTGTTTTGTTTAGCAGTAAAATAATTTACTCCAGTTTGTACACATGCCTTAAATACACAATTTGGCAGCTATATGTTAACAAAAAAAAGTTGTTTTTTTATATATATATATTTCATCATTATTAATATTGTTAAAAAAGAACAAATCTCATTTTTAATTCTAGGGCCAATTTCAAACACTCAGATTAAGCTGAAAGGACTAAAAATATTCACTAAAATATCAAATGTTAGTGTTGCTCACATATCATTTGACTGCCTGAAAATGCGTATGCCCAATTTTATTTTCTTTAAAAATCCCTACTAATTTGATTAGAAAAGCAGATTGCATGGATTATTGCTTTATTACAGCACAACTGCAAGTTGGATATGGCTGAAGTAAACAATCCGAGACGACTATAAGGAAAATGTACAAACAAAATCCCACTTAGTCTTGGCTTTGCTTCTCTGAAAGGCAAAAATGTGATTTATTGAATAGCTCGCTTTGGGCAATTCACTGATTTCACGGTTTGCAAACGATAGTGCAGTTAATTCTAGATCAGAACATAAGTTTTACATGGAAAATGACTGAATCCCTCAGGCTTGTTTTTGATTCATTTGAAATGAAAACATTTTGTATGAACATTTGAAAGGGAATGCAGTGGAGAAAAAGCGATTTTCTTTTTCTTTTTTTTGTGCGTTTCAGGGTTTTATGGTCATATTGCCATGTAGTGTGTTCCTGTGTGTTTTTCAGTTGTGTGTGTGTGTGTGTGTGTGTGTGCAGTGACGTACACACAGCAGATCTGGGACCACATGCAAGGGCGGATGTGGGTCCTGTAAATATAGCAGAACTAGTTAGTGTTGAGGTGTTTATTTTTTGTGTCAGTGTAAGTTGAATATTTTAAAAAGATAAATAATGAGTATTATCTATTGTGTTTCATGGTACATAAAGAAAATAATGTAGTTTTATCTTACATTTCAAATGCTTTATTATCTCTATGGCTTCTGCAAAACTCCCATTCCATTTTATAGATCTGTCAGTACAAAATGCAATAAATGAATACCATTTTATTACGGATTACACGATTGAGTCTTTATTCCAAGCAAGTTTTCAAAGGCTCAAAATCCTGGTCCTGAGATTCTTCAACGCACCACATTTTGGATGCCATTTATAGTACACACCTGAATAATATCATCAGCTCATTAGTAGAGACTCAAAGACTTGAACTGCTGTGATTTAGTTACTTTTCTGAGGAGGTTTTACTGTGAAAACTGTAAGCTAAAGAACTGGAATTGCTGAAAATATCCAAACAAACGTCTAGACTAACGAGTAAACCTCACTGTTGACTAGTTAACCATCTTGAACCCAGTTCCCTCTCATGTTGGGGAATCCTAAACATTTCTCAAAGTCAATTCTTTTTTTAATTTTCTTTGTTTATCGGTGCAAAGTCAATCGATTCAAGATGTCTCGGGAAAGTGTTCACAGAAGTCCTCTGGCCTTCCTAAAGAGCATTTGTGGCTGGATTTTGGAGCAGAGACGGTAAGTGTTGAGAAATACTTCCTCTGTGAAATACTGTTTATATTTGTTTAAACAGATTCACATTGTAGTAATAGTGTTTTAATTAATATTGCCAGTTTTTGGTTACCTTTAAACAACAAGGTTGAATTTAGCATTTCGTGTAAACCAGGCATAACCAGCAACAACAAAAAAAATGTCTGCACTAAAAATTAAAATGGTGCACAATGCCAATCAATCACAGCCATTTAATATAAGGTCACGTGGAGCAGGATTTTGGAGCAATTGATATTTCACTGAGCTTGGTTTACAGCACAGCGTGCTCTGCTTTATATGATAAATTTTGGAAAAATATAGCATGTAGTCTTGGGTATTGCATGCACACAGTGCGGCATGCTATTTCTGCAGCATAAATACTAAGCAAAAACTTATTGACATGGAAGAACATGCTTGATCCCATCAATCAAGGCTGGAATACACTACTTAAAATCTGAACAGATTTTAAAATGCTAAGCATCATACACTTGCAAATTAGAAAAATGCTGCAAAGAAAAACTTGTTACTAAAGAACTTACAGTGGGGGAAAAAAAAAAAAAAGTATTTAGTCAGCCACCAATTGTGCAAGTTCTCCCACTTAAAAAGATGAGAG